TGTTAATTGCTCTACTAATTTTTCCAATCGATCTATTCTTTGTTCTATTATATTGCCTTCATCCTCAGAACTTTCTAATGATTTTTGTCTTTTCTTTGTCGATTTGGACATTGTCGAATTTTTAATAAATTAGAAGAATTTAATAAATTAGAAGAATTTAATAAAGTTTTTTTTTGAAGAAAATTTTTTTTTTTTTAAAGGATCAAGATGGTTTGTGGAGGTATCTGTGGGAGGCATCTTCGGGGGAAGATAGAAAAAAGAAATCCCCGTACCCCGACCCGAACCCCGCCCCGAAACAATTCGAAAACCCCGTACCCCGACATACCCGCCCCCGAGCAACCCTATTTATAATTTTGAATATGAATAAAATATTTTTAGAATTTTTTAATAATTTCGCTTTCGCTTTCGCATCTTTCGCATTTTTCGCATTTTTTGGCGCGAAAAGTTTCGCATTCCGCATTTCGCATTTTATTTTTAGCTTTCGCCCAGCCCTGATACATACATTTATTCTTCCGTTATTTTAGTTTTGATTGTTTCTAAAAATAAATTTTTGCTTGATTTAACGATAATAATTTTTTATTTTATTTATTTTATTAGCAAACCACAGGTATTTTAAAAATACATTAAAATGGTGCAAAAAAGCATGTAAAAAATAAAAGTAAAATCAATACAACAAGAAAAAAACAAGAAAAAAAGATTGTTTTAAAAAGTTTTCGAAATACAACTGCTTTTACTCAATTTCAGCTGCTTTATCTATTATCTCTACATTTTATCAAAATTCAAAACAAATAAAAGTTTCTCCAAGCCTAAAAGACATCAAGGATTTGAGGGGTACTCTAAGCCTAGAATTTTTAATTTTACATAATAAAATATGGTACTCAAAATTAAATACTGTATTTTCTAAAATAAAGCCCATGCTAAATTAGAGCCCCACCCTAAAATAGAGCCCCACTTTGGAGGATAGTTGAAAAATAGAGCCCCATGGAGCTTTATTTTAGGAAATACGGTATTTAATTTAACAATATCTTTATTTAACATAAATTTTTAACTAATATTTATCAAAATTAAAAACATTTTGAAAATTACAAAAAAAATTTTTGGTCAACAATTCTTTTATGAAAAAGGATTTTTATTTCTATTAGCCAAAGGAGATATCAGTATACTATTACCTTTCAAATAACTCAATAAATCATGAACATTGGAAAGAACGTAAAAAATATCTTTCACTAATAATTCAACTTCTTTTTCATATATTTTATTTGATTTAAATTCTCCTTCATTTTTTAATTTTAATTCATTATCTTCAAAGGATTCGAAGCCTTTATTTACAGTCTTTGAACTTGAACTTTCTCCAATATCAATGATATTGGACATTTCTATATCTTCATCTTCTAATATTTTAAGTGAATGATTAAATCCATTTAAAAGTGCTTCCTTTAGTTTTGTTGAAATAAAGTCTTTAAATGATGATATCTTTATTTCTTTATCATTATCATTTGCTGAAGGATACATTTCCATTAATTCTTTTATTGTTTTTATTTCGTCTATCTTTTTTGTTAGTCTAAATTTTGTTTAAATATTAGTTCGACTCGGAATTTTCTTGGCTCATCTTATAAATTGAAATAAGTGAGAAGGGGATCTCCGCACTCTATTTTTTAGTAGGTATTATGTATATACAGAAAGAGTTTAGCAAAAGGGATTATTGCAAAAGGGATCGGGCAGGATTATTCGCTCACCACATACAGGAGCTCTAACACTGAGCTACTGGGGCATGGACTAATACTTTCTCTTTTTCCTTCTTCTAGCTGAATCATCCTTACAATACTTTGACATGATTTTCTATTTATAGTCAGGGCTTTGGAGGATAATTGGAAATTTAATCATATCCCTAAATCACACCCCTAATCACATAAAACTTCAATTTTTTTGTGACTTCTCAACAAATTTTTATTTGATATTTAAAACTACCAACATTTCATCATAAATAACTCCAGCAACTGCAGAATAGATTAATAACCCTTCCCCATATAAATCATACATTCGTTGAATATGATCAAATAAATAGGTATAACGTCCAAGAATGTATATATTATTAATAAGTTTATATAAATTTAAATCTTTTATATAATTCATAGACAATTTTATCATATTCAGAAATACTGTTTGAGGATGTGTTGATAAAATTTCAACTAAAATTTATTTTATATAATTTAATTTTAATTTAATTTATAATCTTTTTTATTTTTATTATTGTGTATTAGCGTTATTACAGATATTATAAAACCGAGTTCAAGTCCAATTGGATAATAAAAGCCTAGCAAGTCCCTGATCTTCTACAAAGTTCCTGATCTTCTACGTCTGATCCACGTCTTATCCCACCCTGGCATACATTGTTACTTTCTACTGCTATATTAATTGTTATTCTCGGCAATTCCGAAATTATGCCGGACATACGAAATTGTTAAGAGGACAGTTTTCCAAGCAAGGCTTAATCTTTATTTCAGGGTTGGAAATTGGAAATGTATTTAGAATTATTGTTTAACATCTAAGAATTTATATACCGTAATTTCTCGATTAATTCCACTGGGGAATTATTTTTTCAACCCTTCCTTGGCATGGGGAATTAATCGAAGAAGGGGAATTATTCGAGTTTTGGCATTTGAACGTGCAATAGGGTATTTGGAGGTGGGGAATTAATGTTTCAACCCAATTCTAGCATGGGAAATTAATCGAGAGGGTGAATTATTCGAGGGATGGGAATTAATCGAGAAAATACGGTATTTATGTATTAATAATAGAGTTGGCCGGGATCGGGATCCCGGTCGGGATCGGGCGGGATTATCCCGGGTTTTTCAAATCCCGATCCCGATTTTTCTGATCCCGGTCCCGAAATAAATATCCCGATCCCGATCCCGGCCAATTTCAATCCCGAGCCGGGATCCGGGATCGGGATGTGCATCAGATCCCGATGCAAATCCCGACTTTATAAATTGACTAGAAGTCTGTGAATTAAAGTTAACAGAAGAGGGGAGGCATGAAATTAAGAAAAATTTTCGCCTGCGGCGCAGAAAATGGAAGAAATTTGGCATCTTGACATCCAAAATTCTCAAAATTTTCGCCTGCGGCGCAGAAAAGGAGCAAATTTAAACAAAGCTGTCTATAAAACTTGACGAAATATTGAGTGATTTGGTGTGATATCGAGTGATCAAGAGGGGTTGAGGGGAGTATAGGTGGATTTGGAGCATAGAAGGATATCGGTGGATTTACAGTGATTAAATTAGATTTGAAGAGAACTGAGGGTTTACGAGGGACATGAATATATCGCTTAATCACTCAATTTCAGTTGAACGTAACGCTGAACGTTGAACGTAACATTTGAACGTAACGCATTTAATCATGTAGACTTGAACGTTTAGACTTACATGCCCTTGGCCTTCCAAGATTAAAAATTATTGCCTGCGGCGCTTAAAAGGGAGTAAATCTGGCACCTTGGCCTTCAAAATTTTTCAAAATTTGGAAGGCCAAGGTGCCAAACTTTTCAAAAGGTGCAAATTTTTTGAAAATCAAAAGCCCAATCCCATTTATCCTCCCCCCCTCCCATTACCTTATCCCCCCTTAATACCCTGAACCGGAAAGTAAATCATGCGTCTATGAGACTTTAACTCAATATTTTAGCACCGCAGTGGAAATTTTAGAATTAAATTGAGTCGTTTGTGAAGAAAATAAAAATTTAAAAGTTAAAAAAAATTTTTTTTAGTAAATCCCGATCCCGAGTTTTCAATCCCGGTCCCGATTCGGGATCGGGACCGGGATCGGGATCTCCAGTCCAAATCCCGATCCCGATTTCGGCCAATCCCGATCCCGTGTCGGGATCCGGGATCGGGATCGGGATCACCATTCCAAAATCCCGATCCCGGGTTTTTCTCTAAATCCCGATACCGGCCAACTCTAATTAATAATTTAAAATTTAACCTAATGCATCTTCAATCGAATTAAACTTCTTTGAAGTATAATCCTCGCATAAAACAAATGACAAAGCCTTTACCAAATCTTTTCTAACCAAATAAACCAAATCATTTCCTCCATAAAATTTTACAAAATTGACGACATATAAATTTAAACCATTAATATCATTAAAAAGATTTGGATATTTATTTGCAATAATATTTCCCCTTTCAATAAATTGAGAATAAAATGAACTGTCAAAACACTCCCAAAGTTTAAATTCTAATTTTTCAATTTTAAATAAATCGTCAAAACAGGCAATTATTTGTTTTAAATATAATTTTATTTTTTGGTCTAGCCAACAAAATTCGTTCAAATTTTTGTCTTTGTTAAAAAAATTATCCATTTTTTCGGAGATAATATTTCCGTAAAATAACAAATAATTTAGGGATTGTTCAAAAGGATTTTCCTTTGAATTTTGATTTGAAACTGGATTGTTAAAGTATTGTTCCACTTTGTCAAGCTTTGCAAATTTTTCCTTGGCATTTTTTAATTCGGTTTTAAAACGAGCTTTTTCCTCTTTTTCTTTCTTTGCTTGAATTTCAAGATTTTCTTTTATATATTCATCCAGAAAAATCATATCTGGGTCTGGTCCTTTAGATTTTTGTTTGCCTTTATCTTGTTTAGGATCTTTAGATTTTGTTTTGTCCTTATTTTTATTTTTCTTTTTTTGTTTGCTGTTTTTAGATGACTCGCTTTTTGGTTTGTTTAAGTTTTCGGAGTCATTCGTTATCTAAATTATTGGATAAAATTGTTTATTATTAAGAAGGATTTTGATGTCCTGACAAGGTATAATCGAAAAAATATACTAAACATGGAATTAGAAATAAAAATTTGAACCAAATAAAAATTTTGATCTCCGAGTTCCGACTTTTGGGCCAATTGCAATTTTTAGCTCTTCCGATTTCCGACACCTATGACTGTTCCGACCCACCTCTGATCTCAATACCAATGATATAAAAACCATTATTCAGCTTAACAAAAGACTGCCAAGATTAAAGAATTAAATACAAAACCTCTAAGCCTTCGGACTTAGTCAATGATGCTGTAGGTGTCAAATTTGACTTTAAATCGGCATTTTCAGATTTTGGTAATATTTTTTCAACGACAGTATCATTGCTGATTTTCTTTGTATTTTTAGTTGATACTTCTTGATTAACAGAAATTGAACTTTTTGTCAATTCCTTTTCTAAATTTTTAGTTTCTGTTCCCTTAGAATCTTCCTCCTTAGTTGTTCTGATTTGCCCTTTGTTGTTGCCTGATTTGTTTTTCTTGTTCTTATTATTTTTAGCTTTTACATTCTCCTTTACCTTTTTTACTTCCAAGATTTCCTTCTCATTGAAATTTTCTATTTTTCCAAAATATTCATTTACTTTCTTTTTCCCTTCTTTTTTCTTAACAACTCTTTCCATATCAAAAAGAACACCATCCTTTATCTCCTTTATTTCATCACTTAATAAATCAAACAACCGAATATCACTATATTTTTCAATAAATTTAAATGGCTTCCTGTAATGATTCAATAAATCTTGTATGTGTTTTCTTGGTGATACTCCTTGAAATTTAAGGAAATAAGGATTCCTTCTGCACTCCTGCACAGTTTCATATGATCCATCATTATAGGGTCTTGCTGGGGTTTCTAAATTAATTGAATCAATCATATTATATTTTCTTATACAGGTACTTTAATAATTCTTACAAAAGTACTATTATATTTTTTCTGGTAATGCAAGGAAACTCAAATGGTCATTGATCAGACTCAATACAGATTATGACCGACTAGGATCTCTGGATCGGAACCTTATGATTTAATTTAGAACCTTAACCTTATTACTATTCTTATTCATTCATATACTTTCTGTAATTACGGACATAAAAGAAAATCCCAAATATTATTTTTAAATATTATTAGTCTTCCTAACCCAATCCTTCTATCACTTCGAGCTTAAAATTATTTTTGCAGTGGAGTTCCACATATTTAAATAATGAAACTTGCTCTGTTTTTCGTCAAATAACTCATCTAAATTTGTATTCGTAATCACATAGGATTCCAACCAATATTTCCAGCCATCATTATAAGATATTTTGAGTAATACAACCTTGAATAGATGTGTAGGAACAAAAATTTCCTTTGGTCCAAGAACCTGAACATTTATGAAAATTTATGGTACACAAATTGTATTAATTCAAGTTTTATTACTTGAAATTCCATTAAATTAGTTTTCTCATTCGGCAAAAATAATGGGCCTGTGTAAATAAATGTTTCTTCTGCTCGTCTTGTCAAACAACTTAAAAATTAAAAATATATTTAAGATTATAGAAGAAGAGATTATATGTATAAGATTCTAAGGGATTTGGATATTCTACGGGATTTGTATAAGATTCTAAGGATATTATTATTGTAGATCGTATCTTAACATATCAAAAAATCAAGCACAACCACTAGATTTTGTATTAACTAATGGTGAACAAGACGACTCGTTTTATAGACAAGTCTGACCAAAGATTTCATTGGTCTTGCAATATACTTACCTAATATATTCTTCAATAACTCGCCAATGCCCACCATTAACTTGATCTAGTTGTGGCACTGAATTGGTAAGGTAATATCCTTGTTGATGTGGGTGTAAAAATGCTGTAGCCAGATGTCCGTGACCTAGTTCAAAACGCTATAAGATGAAATATTAAACTATATTAGGGAAATCCTCTGCGCCAGACCCAATTCCATATGCCGTTTTGTTTGCCCCCTTTCCACTATTCAGCGCTCTTAAGATAGCGGGAGGACGATAGGCTTCTACGTCCTAGCCGTCCTTCCCGCTTGTAATGTTACTTTATTATAAATTAAAAAAATATTACCCGAGGATTGTCGTAATCCCCATATTTTGGCTGAAATTTTAGAGAAAATTCTGGATCAGTATTCCAGGTAAGTCTTGCTGTAGGTCTAATCAACCTTGCTTTTTCCATTGTCAAAACTTCCAAAACCCAATTTGGTATCCTCCTTCTTCTGTTAAAACTTAAGATATAATCCTTAAATTAAAGAATAATTACATATATTATTGGATATATTTAAAATTTTATGCAGATCATATGATTATTACATAATCAAATATCCCGGGTAGCTATGGCAACCCTCAAAGTAAAAACACTAGAACGTTATTAATCTATTTGAAATGCACTTTAGCAATGGTTAAATCCCGATCAAGGCACCCAATTGCAAAACTTCTTTCTAAAAGTTTAAAAAATTCATATTTAGATGATCTATTAAGCTTTTTCATAAATTTTACAAGAATTACATTTTATTCAAATAACTAAATCCACTTAGAAAATTCATAAATTCGAAATTTTCATCTACATAATAAATAAATTAAACAAACTTTATATATTCGAATGTTCGATTTTGAATATTTTTCAGTATTTTCCTTTTTAATATTTTCAAAATTTGTAAATTTGTTTGAAAATGTTGGTAACAGTGTTTTTAGAAAGGATAAATGTTGATTTGATTTTAGGTCTGAGAATTCTGATTCCTTATTTAACTCATTAACATTTTTGAATAATTGATCTTTAGTGCATATCTCTTTAATTTTTGTTGTTATTAGTTAAATAAGATTTCTTGACATTTAACATCATGTCTGAGGGTTTATTATTCGTTTTAAGGGAAAGATCCGCCCTATAATAGATTTGTGGTTTGGAATAATTCTTATTTTGAAAAATGGAGGTGTGTCTCTCTCTATTGAACCTTATAATTTGGCAGATAAATGCCAACACAGAGACTTCTCACAATATGTATAAGAACTAAGGTAGGAGGACCTGCCCGAAAGATCGAGTCGGGCATCGAATTTTTGCCTGAAAAAGCTCGGTCGGGCCGGCCCGAGAAAAATGACTCGGCCGACGGCCCGACCCGAAAACCCCAACCCTAATAAGAACATAATAAAGGTTAAGCTACTGGAATCAATGGAATTTCACTTTTATATAGCATTTTTAATTTGGCAGATAAATGCCGACACAAATAAAACTACCTAAATCACTAATTCCCTCAATTCCTGCAGCATTAATCAATTCAATCAACTCAAATCCAATATACCATTCCAAAAACTGTAATTTATTTTCAAACATTTGTTCCATAAGCTTTGAATCTTTAACATAATTTTTGTATTCCCAATTATCTATGCTAGATTTTCCACAATAAGCTTCTTTATTTGTATCAAAAATTGTTCCGATTTTCGTTTTAGCTTGAGTAAAAATAATGTCAGCACAATATTTTTTATTTTCATATTTGATAAAAATAACTTTATAAAATTGAGTTATTGGCGAATGTTTTATTGAATTGTTAAACTTAAAATTTTTAAATCAAATTTTAAGTTGTATTTATAGTGTATGGGCCCTTAAATTAGAGTTGCATCCCGTACCCCGCCTCGAAACTATTCGAAAACCCCGTACCCCGGCATAAACACCCCCGAGCGTTCGTGGTGCAATCCTACTTTAAATGTTTTCATTGAATCCTTAATGAATGCTTGTTAGTGTCAGGGATGTCGCTGATCTCGGATCGTGTGTTAAAATTGCATGTTCGTCAAATATATCAGAAGCACGGAGACTTAATACAGATTGGATACTGATTTGGATTTAATACTGATTTGGACCCACAGACTTAATACTGATTTAGAATTTAGTTTTGATCCTCCCCATATTGAAACCTAAAGAAATTTCAAAAATTCTCTTTTAAAAATTAATTACTGTATAGCCTTTCACCCTTCCTCTAAGTTTAGTTTCTTCTGCAGAAGATTCAGGAATCACAAAAATTGGCCCAGTTAAAGTTAATATGGCTTTATTATTCCATTTGGAAACACATCTAAAAATTATTAATAAATTTTTTAAAAAACTATGTATTTATTTTACTTTGCATATTCTTCAAGTAATAAAACAGTTTTAATCATTTCTTTATTATCTAAATGACCAAAATCTGGTTGAGATTCTTTTGTTAAATTACTAGAATCAAGACTTTCAAAAATCCAATTAACTTTTTCTGCCAGTAGATTAATGCTCAACATATATTTCTACATAAAAAATATTTTTTGAGACAAATTAAGGGGAGCAGGTCAACGTACCGCGAGCCCAACGTACCGCAGAGCTATAACTTCGTTCAAAATGGTCGAATCCGGGACGCCTTGGTATGGTTCGATGGATCTCGACGAGCTGAATTTGAACGAAGTTATAGCTCTGCGGTACGTTGGCCTCGCGGTACGTTGGGGTGTACCCAATTAAGGTTATCTAACCTTATTTTTAGTTAGTATTCTTTCCTCTTCTGGCCATCCAAACTCATCAAAATGATTTTTTATTTTATTGGTAACCCATTCTGAATTAAAATTTTCTTCTAAATTTTTATCTTCCTCAGTTAATTTATCAGAAAAATTGTAATTTTCCCATAAATTTTGGCCGAGAAAAAAAGGAAGATTATATGGATCTCCAACATAACACTTATTTAACGAATCATCCATTGATAGTGTTAATTGTCCAGGAGAAAGTTCAAGTGGAATTGATACTTAAATTAATTTAAAAGATAAATAAGTAATTAAATCAACATCAAACTATCCTTTATGCTATTATACATTATATTAATTAAATAGTAGTATAAATTAGTGACCGGCACCGGACCGTCTCCGGCCGGATTTTTCCGGAGTCCGGGTCCCAACTCCGGGTTTTTTAGATTTCCGGACTAAGACCGGACCGGATTAATCCTGAAAACCCCGGCCAGATCCGTTCCGCGCTCCATTGCCAAGTCCGGAATCCCGATTCGGGTCCGGAAAAATCGATTTTCTGATCACTAGTATAAATAAATATTCTTATCTTTAATCCAAATTTTCTTATATGTATATACTTAAATTAAATATTTTTTTAAAAGTATCAAAATTAAGGAAATATCCCGAGTATATCTAAGCGTAATCTAATATTCCTTACATTGACGGTGAATTGATTGTTGTTCATTAGCAGGTATGTATTCACTTGCTAAAAAATTATTAAGTTTTAAAAGATTAAAATTTCTTAGAAAGATTTGGTAACGAAAAAATTATGTAAAGTTATGTAATGTGCATCTATTTGGAGAGACTTCGAAGATAAAATCTGTAGAGATTTCGGAGAGAAGGAAAAATCTGGAGAGATTTCGAAAGAAAAATTTTGTTAGAAAGTTGTATAAATTTGAACGGCCGAACCCATTTAGACCTTCTTGGCCTTCTTGGCCTTACATTAACACACAAATGGAATTACATATCTTTAGACTTTATTTACAATAAAAAATGACCATTTGGATTCAAAGAAGACTTTGTCTTTGAAGAGATGTCAGCATAACTGGAAGAACCAGGATTGGACAAAAAAGATTTATTTTCATTAGTATTTGTTTGAGAGGCCAATTTAATTGGAATTATTCCAAAAATAATTAAAAACAATAAAATAATCATTTGGAATAAATAAATAAATTAATTTAATTTTAATAAAAATTTAAAATATATTTTTTAAAAAAATGAATAGGGTAATGTCTGTTATTAAAAAGACATAGGGAAATAAATATTTTTAAATAAATAATTATGAAATATTTCCTGTTTTTGTTTACCTTTTATTTTTATTTTATAAAAAGCAGCTAAATTGTTGTTTATTTAGATGGCATTTTTTATTAGCTTTAAAGTGTATTTATTGACTAAATAATATTTTAATAATATTGTTTACTGTGCTTTTAAAATTGTCTAGATTTAATTATAAATAAAATTTCCATTTATACGCCCAATTTAACCTTACGTCCAGTCAACTTCATGTATATGTCAAATGAAAAGTTTATTTAAAACAACTTTTTAAACGTCCAATCTTTGTCGATAGCATCCGTTCTGCATGTTAGAATCAAAAAGCGCTGGTAATCAAAGCAAGTGTAAGGCTGGGTTCATCCTGAAATCACGTGAACAATAATGTCGCTCTAAACTTTCTGCTAAGTAACGGAAGTTCCCAGAGAAAAGGCAAAGAACACCACAAACGGCCATTCACAGAGAGTTATTAGCCGCCCATTATCTACGCTAAACATCGCCACTAACTTATCCTTGGGAAAGCAATAAGGAAGTAGGCTGGTGCATATAAGCTCTAATGGAATAGGCTATAGCGGATCACTTCTTCATTCATTCAACAGAGTTGCCGGCCGGCTTATCCATCGTGTAAAGGGAGAGACGTCTCCCCTTATATTCCCCCACTGCGAGCGATTAACTTATTCTATACTCTGCTTCACACATGATTGCAAGCATGCGCGACTCTGCCTTTAACAACAATTAACAACGAGGCACTGGGGAACGGGACCAACTGCTTTACTCAAGTGAACAAGTCCGAGAAATGTGATGGATGAAGAGACAAGTGATTAAAGGGAATTGGCCAAAACATTAAATAGGGAAAAAAGTGGATAGTAAAAAATTAAGTTTTGAGAAAAAAAAGATATGTGTGAAAATATGTGTTTTGGAGCGGGGAAAATAAATATAAATTAATTAATAAATTGGGATTTATCTTTCCCTTTTTGGCACATGTCTTAAAACTCTTTTTTAAATTTAGAATTGTGTTTTTATCAGTATCTAAAGTTATATGTGAAATTTTTAATCAAATAAAAGGTGAATGTTCAGACTAACATATAAAACTTTACGAGGTTGTATCACGAGGAAAAATAAATATGTTTTTCATAAATAGTTCTTTAACACTTTCATAAAACATCTCCAGTATAGGGTGCGTATCATAATTATATCTCCACTTTGAATTTAAAAATTTCGACTAAACTCGTGTTGTCAGGTCTACCTTCAGACAGAACTAACGATTTACGAAGACCCTAAGATGCTTATATAAATTTTGACAATCGGAATCGAACCATCCCTTGTTGTCAAGGAACGATGGTTTGGGCGAAACTGATAATTTAGGCGAACAATGAGTTCATACGGTACTTTTAGTTCACATGAATTAACCCCCGTTCCGAAATTTCTATTTTTGGAGCTTTTAATTTCGATTTAGTATTTTCGAAAGTCTGGCTTCCAAGTGAAAATTCAAAGTAGAGTTATAATTATAAATTAGATTCAGAACAATTCGCATTAATTTGTCTAGACTTTCTTTGAAGCTGAAATGTAAACACAAATATTATAAATTTGTTTTTACTAATAAACCTACAATTAGAAATCATGAAAGTTTTGTAGTGGCTATTCTTTAAATGGTTTTCTAAGCCCTTAATATCGTTTCTATTGCCGATATAATTGTGTTTATGACAATAATAAATCGTTTTTCCTTCTACATTATTAGCAAGTGTAAATTCTTTCTTAATCTTTTTCTCTTTATCTTAATTTTATTTAGCATTTGAATTAATAAATTAATATATAAACCTGACTCATTCAAACATTTCACTACTTCTTCTGGAATAATATAAAATTAAATAAAGGTACAATCGTGATATTTATGCTTAATTAACTCGTAAAAACACGATTCAAACTTTTTTAACTTGTAAATTTTTGGGCACAGCCAATTTATTATTACAAACCTTTAATTGAAATCCGAGGAATTTTTTATGATCCCGGATGTGCTTTAATAAAACCGAATCAATAGCTGAACTTCGATAGGGAAGAGAAGATCCACAACGTTTACACTGAGCAACTATATGTCCATCTTGAAAAAGAAGTTTAAAATCCTTGAGAATCTCATCCGTCTTCGCTAAAATTTTAATTTTTCGAATAGGTTTATAAAAAATTAAAACTTGATTTAGTTGAGGAAGAACCTTGCGAGTATTGTGCTCGATCTTTCAATAGGTGTTGAAAGTGTTCCAACTTATTCTGTTCTCCATGTGGACTAGTGTTTTTAAATTCTAAATTAATAAATAATTTTTAATTTTATTCATCATTTTATATCAGGGCTTCGATTTCTGCGGATTTTTCCTCATTTTGTGGTTTTTTGATAGGGCGATGAGGATTATTTTTAAAAATGCGGATTTGCGGATTTTTGTGGTCTTTTGAAGATTATGAGGATTTTTTGTATTTTCCTGTAGTTTTTAGGATAAAATGTCATTTTTTGTTTTTATGGCCTTCCAAAATCCGCAAAATTTTCGCCTGCGGCGCTGAAAAGGGGCGATTTTTGGAAAGGGGCGATCGCTGAAAATAAAAATTTTTCGCCTTCGGCACCAAAAATTTGGCATAGAAAAAATTTCCCCCCTTGGCCCCCCCCCCCCATCCCCCGAAAAAAAATCCTGGCTACGGGCCTGGCTCAAGTCAACATAATTTTTCCTTTAACTGTTCGGATTTTAATGAAATAAATAGTCATTAGTAGGATAAAAATTGCTCAATTCAATTGTTGGAGTCAAAAAATATAAAGTATAAAGTGATTTTAATTCAACTTTTGTGTTTGATAATTTTTTGCGGATTTTTCATATCAAATGCGGATTTTTTCTATCAAAATTGCGGATTTTTAAAAATTCGAGATCGAAGCCCTGTTTTATATGTGTTTAAATGTTATTTTTAAAGTATATAGCTATTTAATTCCTAAGGCTGTGCAGTAGGAGGCGTGGTGTAGTGGCTAACACATTAGACCGGTCTATTGAAGATGCTGTTTCGCTCCCAGCCGCCGAATAACCTTTTGCACTAGCTAAAGGAGAGAAATAGCTATAGCCCAGCTGCTTTACTATTTGTCAAGTTTTTAAATGCTTTAATAAAACATTGATTTTGGAAATTTCATGTTTTAGGAAAATTGTATAAGGAAAATATAATGCAAACTAAAAATCAAAGTTGTTTTTGCTTAAGATAGTTTAGGCAAAAATTCAGAAATTGTAAACATTCAATAGCTTAATATATTTTTCAGCTTAATATATTTTTTTTAGTGAACTTTGAAGGTTTTTTGGTTTCATGGTTAAGAATTTTTAACACAGAAATACCAATAGTGTTATCATCGATATGATAATCATCTAACATATTTTCTGTTAAGGAATTGTTTATAGGCTGGTCACTTTCGTGTAACTTGTCAATTTCTCCTTCATTTTGAATATTATTCAATTCTAAATTCA